ACAATAAGACATGCCTGTGGTTCCTCGATGAGAAATGTCTTGGCAAAAATAGTGTTTACCAAATATTATTCTAGAGTCCAGAACAGAAAAACCAACCGAGTTATAACAGAAAATCTTTCACGAAGAAAAAAAAGAAAAGAAAAAGAAAAAAAGCTCAAAGCCCTTTGTGACATTTTTCTATTAATTCATAATATCAAAGACTTCCCTACTGGCCTGGTTGGTATCTATATTATGAAAGGGGGGGGGTCTCACAATCAAGAACTCTCTGTTTTTTCTGAGTTGCTAACTAGGGCATCAGCAAAATAACTATGTTGCCCTCATTCACCTTATTCATTTCACAGCTGATCTTAATGTCTGATTTTTGTTTTTCTTTTAAATGCATCACAGTAGCTATTTCCCCAAACAGACAATTCCATACAGTATAACTGGAAAAGCAGAAGAAACAAAGTGATCTATTCATCCAGGGAAATTGGAGGAGGGGGGAGAGATAAAAGATGGAATGTCACCACAGCCTTGACTTCTCATGAAAGATACAGTTGAATTTTAAATTACATATCCACTGCCCATGCATTGCGTAGCTTCTCAGACCTAAACAAATCTCATTGCTAAACTACACTGGCCTAGTTCCTTTGTAATATTTTATTGCTGTGTGTATGTGTATTTTTCTGTACTGAAAGCAGAGACTTGGAAACAGCCTGATAAAAGCCAGTCCTATATTTCATATGGCAGGAGAAGGAGCGCAGTAAACACAAACACAGCAGAGCACTTCCCTTTGTTGACAACCTTATTGTTTTCCCTTAATGCATTGTTTAGAATAGCAATTACGTGTCATTTCCCATTATCTTATACACAAAACCAATACCATACAGCCGCTGCTTTTCTTTCCAACAACTGATCGTGAAGAATATAGAGGATTTGTGTGCTGGTGAAACATGTCAAGACTGACAGCTCCGCGCCCCAGAGCCCTGTGGAAGCACAGAACAGGTGCATGGCCAGGCAGCTGGGGTGAGATCTCCCCTCCACTTTCTCATTTTTGCTTTCTCGGCTTCCCTCCCCTTCAAGTGCTTCCCTCTGGACTGGGAGGGAGAGCAGCTTAGGCAGAACCTCCCTTCTCAGGCTATTTCCCTCTGCCAGAGAAGACTGGCTCACTCTCAAGACAGCAAGCATCTGACCACTGCAAATAGCAGTTGAGCGTGTCAACTTGTTTTATTCACATCCCTCGCTAGGGAATCAGAAAGCCAAAGACGACACTGGTGATTTCCCTGGTTTTATGGATCCTGACCTCTCTCCCCCCACCCCCAGGCCAGCAACACATTTTTGGTTCATGTGTTCACAGCGTCCTGGCATCGGCAGTGTGGGAAACCTGTACTGAGAGCCAATGGCCCCACAGCTTCTCCCTATTAAAATGTGCAATTGGATTTCACATGTGTGTTTCGAACACCATTCAAGGCATGATTTACAGGCTACTGTCTCGCCCCACAGCTGTTTTTCCATCTTCCAGACTTAGCTGTTTCTAGGAATCCACCACCCAGCTCCCCAGCAAATAGTCTTCCTACTTTGGACCTCCTCAGTTATTTGAGGCCATGCAACACTACGTGAGACCTATAGTAAAGATTCAACAAAATACTTACTGAATGAACAAAGAATTACGTATTCTTTCCACATCATTATTCATTCATGGGAACAGCCGTCTGTTTATCCCACCTTCTACTCAACATTCTTGTCACCAAATTAATCACTGCTGATGCACTGATACAGGTTCAGCACATTAAAAACACCATAGGACTGGTGACTTCTGTCTAGGCCTCACTGAATTGTTACTGCTCGGAGCCTTGACAATTACTCTCTTAAGAAGAAAAAAAAGGATCACTTTACATTCTGCAAACTATTTTCTTGTGGCTAAACAAAGACAGACAATCTGTGCTACTCAGAGAGCAACTCAACAATACTTTGTCCTGTTTCTGTGACAGCCGCCTCCCCCACGGTCCAGCTTCTGAGAATCTGGAATCACTCCTCAGGAAGGTTAGGCCTCAGGCTTAGGGTTGCGTTTAGCTCAGATGCAAGCACTTATAAGATCCCCCAAACATTTGATTTTAAGTTTTGGGAGGGCCAGAGCAGTACTGTATTCACTTCTGATTCTTCTGTGCACAGGACAGTTCTGGGCACAGAGCACAGGCATAAAAAGGTGACTGAACTCAACTCTTCTTAGCCTAGGCAAAGGAAGACCATCCATGCAGGGGGTGGCCTGGATTCTAGGCACTGGAGGATTCCTCTGTCCTTTGACTGAGACTCACTTTTCAAGGGAGAAAGACAAAGGAAAAAGAAAGCATGACATCAAGATAACTGGGAACGGTATTGGGATGGATCCGTTTCACCCAAATGAGTTCATGGGGACAGCTTTCATATTTCAGATGAAAGCAATTAATGAAAAGTCCTTAGGCCAGGCCCAGTGGCTTCTGCCTGAAATCCTAGCACTCTGGGAGGCCGAGGAGAGTGGATTGCTTGAGCTCACAAGTTCAAGACCAGCCTGAGCAAGAGCGGGACCCCATCTCTACTAAAAATAGAGAAAACTGGCTGGGCATAGTCAGACTATAGGCAGGTGACTATAATCCCACCTACTTGGGAGGTTGAGGCAAGAGGATTGCTTGAGCCAAAGAGTTTGAGGTTGTCATGAGCTATGATAACAACACAGCCCTCTAGCCAGGGCAATAGAATGAGATTCTGTCTGCAAAAAAAAGTCATGTTAAATAAAGATCTTTGATTTGGGTCAAACTAGATTTTCCCTCTGGTTGCAGTATACCAATCTTTTACAGGGAACAGAGTATCTCAAGGTGGAAAGGGGACATTATCTTTACCTTTCCATAGGCACTAGATGTGAGATTCTAAGTATTCCTAGAAGAAAACAAAAAACCAAACTAACAGCACAGGCTTCCTCTAACACATAAAACTACCACACAGATGTTGAGCTCAAGATTGTGTGCTCACTTCATGACAAGTCATGGCCATCAGAACAAGCCCTTTCTTCACAGAGGTCCTTTAAGACAGGCAGACCAGTAAAGGGCTACAGTGTTTAACATGGTGTTTAATGATTTGCAGAGGGAAAGCCACCAAGTTCTACAAACCGAAAGGTTCTTATCAGGACTTACCTTTTTTCCTTTTTTTTTTTGAGACAGAGTCTCATGATGTTGCCCTTGGTAGAGTGCTATGGCATCATAGCTCACAGCAACCTCCAACTCTTGGGCTTAAGCGATTCTCTTGCCTCAGTGTCTCAAGTAGCTGGGACTACAGGCGCCTATCACAATGCCCAGCTATTTTGTTTTTTTGTTGTAGTTGTCATTGTTGATTAGCAGGCCCGGGCCGGGATTGAATCCACCAGCTCCGGTGTATGTGGCCGGTGCGGTAACCACTGTGCTACAGACACGGGGCTGGGACTTACCTTTTCATTTCCTCCAACAGGTGTCTGCTCACAGACCTCATAAATAAAGACTACTCACTCACTTTTTTGATAATCTGAGAATTATACCATGTTGACCAGATGGACCATCAGATCTTCAGGTTACCCAAAGCCTCTTTTGTCTTACACCCTGACATTAGAAATCACCAAAATTCATCCTTGTTGTAAATGGTCCAAAAGCCCAGAATTGTAACCAGTGGATAGAAAGCATAGGAAGACAGTGACCACTCATTGAACACCTACTATGTGTCAGATGCTGCAGACATTTTGGACGTGCGCCTTTTCTGATTCCTCTCTCTAGACAGTGAGGTGGTGCAGACATCATTATCTAATTTTGCAGGTGGATATAGATAAGACTACCCAAGGAAACAGGACTCTCATTAAGAGAAACAAGATTTAAATCCAGGCTTTTGTTTCACTAAAAGCTCCTTCTAAGAATTTAAGAGTGACCTTGGGAAATAGTCCTTCCCTAACCTGGGAAACACTCAAGCCTGAGGCAGTTAACTGGCAGAGGGATTCATGCGTTAGAGGAGGTTGGAACACAGAAGTTCTACATCTCCAAGAATCCATAGACTTCCTTCACCCATACTTTAAACATCTGACTCTGCAGTCATCCTAGGTGAGCTGAGTAATCAAAACAGGTGCGCAGCTTGTTCTGCTCAGAACGAACAACTCTCCCTTTGCTCCCTGTGCCAAGACTGCTCTCTCCTTCTCTCCTCTACAGCTCTGGTCACGCTGTTGGGGAGAGACCCTCTCCACAGCTTCCCGTATTTCTTCCGATGCTCCATCACCGGGCAGTTAGACTCTCCTCCTAATTAAAACTTCCTCAACATCCTTTAGCTATAAGAAATCCCTGTGTCTCTCGTGGCCCAGTCACACACACTCACCCACTCTCTCACCGTTTTCATCCTTACTCTGAAATTTTGTGTTATAAACTTACATCTCTGTCAGCCCAAGCACTTCATAGCACATATATACAGAGTGCCAAAAAGCATACACACATTTTGAGAGATCTTGTTGGAAGTAAAACTGATCATTCCCCCAAAGTGCACAAATTACAGGTAAAATAGATGAGCACGGCACGTCTAGGCACACTCAACCAGGAACAGTACCCTCCGTTCAACTCTGAAAAGTAATACACAGATCACAGCACTTAAGATGTGTATACATTTTTTTGGCACCCTCTGTATAAGTTTTAGAACAAGGCAGGATATAAATAAAAACAAAGACACCTGCCTGGTCCTCCATTTGCTTTCCTGCTTGAAACCACAGGGGAAAGACCCGACAACAGTCCCTCCTGTATGACAAGCTCTTTCCAGAAACCAGCCCGCACGAGCACCAACTGCTGCTGTCATTGTGCACCACCCAGGGAGCTCCTCTCCCCGTCCGTCTTCAATCCCTACACCGTTTCAACCTTTCCCCATTTCTTCCTTCACTTGACCCGTCATGTTTTCACCTAAGATCTTCTCTGAAGAGAATGATTGGCAAGGAATCCCGGCCCACCTCAACCCTGAGCGGATAATTCTGGCTCGGAGCCCACTTTTACCATTGGAGTCTTCCACGTCTTCAGTTGGGGTAGCTTTTTGGGAGGAGTGGTGGGCGTGTGAGGAGAGCAGGCTGACGATCCGGGGTCTGGGGAGGGTCAGGGCTTTGCCGTGGACCTTGAGGGAGTGTTCCTTCAACTGGCTGATTGTCATGGTGGAAAACGAGCACCAGGAGCACTTGTAGGCATGTTCACCTAGGAGGAGATGGCGGCCAAGGGCAGGGCAGGAGAGAGAGGGGAGAAGGGTATGTCGCGGGTGGGGAACAAAACAACACAGTTAATTCAAGCTAGAGAAATGCCTCTCAATCTCCAGCCTAGGAACAGTCCCTCACACACCAACTCCCTGCCCACTCCCACAGGTACAATGCTACCGTGAGATCGAAACTCCTACACAAGCTCCAGAATCAAGTGAGCTGCCCCCTTCACTTCATGCTCTGCTTACAGGGCGAGCTAAGAGTCCATCCCCAAGGAGAGTGAAGCCCACCTGTGTATGATCCCGCCTTCAGAGAGATTCCCCAATCCCTATGTCTCCTTCTCTACCCTAGAAATGAGCATGTCAGGCTTCATTCCAGGTTGGCTTTTTATTAACCAAAGAAAATAACATGCTTGAATTCTCATTCCAAAGACCTACCAGTGTCTTCTCAAGTACAAAGTCATTCAGTCCACGCTCTGTTGTATGATTCGCACTCTCTACTTCCTTGCTAACTACACCTGTCCTTGTCCCACATACACTCTCTCTCATATATCCCTCCCCCATATATATACACACACACATATATACACAGACATATAAAATGTGTGTGTGTGTGTGTATATATATATATAAAAAATTCTTTTTTGGACCAGTTCACAAACCTCAATATAAACCTCCATTTTCCTATCTAGTCCATAGTACAGAAATGAATAAAAATAAGGCATTTCTCTAATGAAGGGAGTTGCATTTGTAAACATGGGAGAGGATAAGTGTGTATGTACATCTCCAATATTCTTTAAAAACAAATGCTTTTCTTTTAATTAGTTTTATGCCACTGAACTACAACACCAATCGCCATGACCAAATTAAGGTAGACTGTGATTTACCTTTGCCATAATCAGCTTCTGAATGAGTACATTGAAAGAAATAAAGTATGAAATGGGTGTGCTTCTGTTCTCAGACAGATACTGGCATGATTAATTCAGAAAGACATTCTGCCTTTCATAAGCAATAGACTTAGAAATGTTCATGCCTCAAATCTAGTACTTCCACTTCTGAGTCCTCTATTAAGGAAACATCCTTTAATATATAGAAAGCTTTACCTAGAAATGTGCATTATTTAAGCTTGAAAAAGGTATGAAAGATTCTAAATTTCCAACCACAAGGGAACGATTAAGTAAATGTGGCATATCCTGATGAACTATCACTCCATTAAAATCAATACTTGTATTTTCCTCAATGTTGTGATAACATAAAAAATAAAGATGGAATGGCCAAATGCATTTTAGATTACAAGATAATTACAAGTGTTAAAAATAATCATAGAGAAAATGATTGAAAGGAAATGTTATCAACTGTTAACCACAGCGGTCTTTAGACTGTAAGATTATGGATGGTCGACTACATTTCTTCTTTCGTTTCCAAATTTTCTGTAATGAACATGCATTTTTAAAAAATTTATTTTTAAAGGAGAAATTTAAAAAGCAGAGAAGCAAAAGAAGGAAGAAGAAAAGGAAGCATTCCCAGGATCTTGAGGAATAAAAGTTGTGGGGCACCGAAAATGGACAGAACTGGTGGTCTACAGATTAATATTAAGAGAAACAGGAATCGGGAGGGAAACCTCTGCCCCTTGATTTTAACCAGCTGAGATTGTTACTTTCCTGCCACCACGAAAATCACTAAATGGTTTCACATGTGAAGTGAGAGCAGTGTCCAAGTTCTGCAGTTAAGCCTCCTTCTCCCCATTGCTGACCCAGGAGCCTGCATTTCCAAGGAAGTCTTCACGAGAACTGTAGAAAACCTTGAACTAGGCAGAACCCAAGTTCAAAGAAGTCAGAGGACTCAAACAAGACCACAAGTTGATCCCTCTTTAGGAACTAGATAATAATGCTGGTCAGCGAACAAGGGCATTTACTAACACACATAACATCACATGTAACACTACTGCTCTCCTTACTCTATTTTTCAATTTTGTAATGACAGCTCAGTTGCATGAATCTTGCTGAGTAGCTGTGAGTTGCACAGCCTGAAAGAATTCAATCCAGATCATTTGGTTAGTCCATACTATGTTTAACCCTTTAACATAAAATAAAAGAATCCACTTAGATGAGTCAAGATATTTTTAGAAAATGTATTGCTTTCTCCAAGCCAAGCCCCTCTCAATGGCTAGTAGCCATGTCACCGAGACGGAGGTTCCAAAGTGTGTCAGAAACTGGATTGCATTGCACTCAATCTCTCTTACTGGGTGCGCTCTCTCCTCCAGCCAGCGTGCACAGCGAGGCCAATCTCCTCGGTGGTCTCCAAGAACAGACACTTTAGCTTAGTGCCCTGGAGTCAGTGTGCAGGCTCTGACGCTCTTTCAAAGTCCTTCCCACGGGCCGAATCATCTACCCAGCTCTCACTGGTAAAAGTGCTTTTGACAAGGCTGAGGCCTGTGGGAGAAACTCACACAACCAGGATGCCATCCTGGCTGAATAATTTACAACGTACACAAGTTAGGAATGAGTGGTTTGAACTCTGAAGCCATCTACTCCACAGACTTTAGTATAAGTTTCTTGGACACAGAAAAATACTAAAAGAAAAAGGCCTCTATGGCTACTTGCCCGGTCCCAACCCTGACCCCTACAGAGCCTGGGGCAGCTGGGAGGTTGGGGGAATTTTACTGAATTAATTAAGTTCAAGGGGACCTGACACTCGGGGGATAGTAAAGAGACAGGGTCCTGTTTGCACAGGGCGTGGGGAGATGGCAAAAGTGAAGGACTCAGGGTCTAGACAGTTTTTAAGTCGCTGTTCAGAATGCTGCCAGGTGTTACACAATGTACAAGGGACATTACACAATGCCCCCCCTTTAGGACTGTCACAAGGACTGAGTAAGATAAGAATATAACATGCTGAGTGCAGAGCCTGGTAGTTAAGAGAAGTTCATGATATACCAAATGTTAACCACAGCAGTCTTTAGATAGTAAGATTATGGATGACCTACTCTATTTCTTGCCTTATTTCCAAATTTTCTCTAATGAACAATGAAATGGGATGCCTAAGCGATAGAGACCAGCGCGGCTCCTGTACCTTCATGACCCAACATCATTTTCTTTCTGGTCTACAGAACTGGAACTAAGGGCATCCCTTGAGGAATCTCAGCCATCTTGAGTTCTCTCTGTCCCTTCAAACTTCCTTAAAATGATAACTTTAGTAGATATAATTGTTTTCCCCAATGCCACATGACAGGGTCAGAAATTCAGAAATTTCTTTTAAGAAACAAAACAGTCTAATTCTAACCTGTTAGGAGCATGAATCAACCATCTTATGGGTGACATAAGCTTTGGAATATTTTGTCTTTAAGTGATTTTCTTTAATATATTTTTTTAAATTTTCTTTCATAGATAAAAACAAAGGGAACATGCAACCTGCTTAAGAATAACTTATTAATGAATCCTATGTATTCAATTTTGATAGGAGGACAATTAATGATCTAGTACATGGTGAGAGGCTGGGGGAAGGGGTGAGCAGAGAGAGGGAAGGAGGGAGGGGATGGGGGAAAGGAAGAGCAGAGAGAGGGGAGGAGGGAGGGGAGTGGGATCTCAGTGTGTGACGCACCTTTTGAGGGCAAGACACAATTGTAAGAGGGACTTTACCTAACAAATGCCATCAGTGTAACCTGGTCTCTTATACCCTCAATGAATCCCCCCAAATAAATAAATAAGTAAATAAAAATAAAATCAGATATTGAGTCTGCAAAAAAAGAAATAAAAAGAATAACTTATTAAGTGTGGGGCAAGAGACTTAAAATTCCACTCAGTAAAGACCATCAGAATTCAAACTCAGAGAGTGCCAACTCACCAGCGTGAGCTTTGAGTATATGCGTTTTCAGCCGGCTGTTATAGGAGGACTTGAAGGAGCAGAGTTTGCATCGGAATGGTTTATGGTGTCCGTGGTGGGTTTGCATGTGGCGATCCAAACTTGATATAGAAGGGGAAAAAAAAGGGAAATGACAGGATTAAACATTTCTACATTTGTCTCATTGCCCTTTTCTGGGAATCCCACTTCTAAAATATGCTAAGTCTTTTTGTTTACTTTCTAGTCATGGTGCTTACCAAATTAATTAATTGATTAATTGGCAAGAGCATTTGGGCTTATTTTAAGAAGAAAGGAAGCTAATGGATGCAATCTTTTTGGACTGAAAGATACGGCAATGTAACAGGTTACAGCAGACCTTTATTTTCCCCTCTCTGACCACTGATAATTGGAAGACTGGATCCAAACAGAGAAGGCACAAGATGGGTGAATTCAAGGTTACTGCCAAGCCAATGAAAGTGCCTATCAGTGTGTCTTCTAATTCACTCAAAAACAAACAAACAGAAACAAAACTGGGGATTAGAGAAATTTAGCATTTGAAAAGGGCTAACTTCTTTTTAAATTTTAACTCTTCTTTCATCATGAGCACTAGAGTCGGGAAGGGAGGTTTCAATGCGCTTGACTTCCCCCTCATGTGCCAGCTTCTATGTTAACAGAGGCACATGCTCCCAAGCGGGCTGATAAACACCATCAGGTTCACTGTACATCCGTCTTCCAGAAGCAACATATAAGAGAAGTTATTTAATTACAATGAACTCCCAGTACTTCATAATAATTACCTACCTAAAAAAAAATAGTAAATCTCCCCAACAAGGTGTGGGAAGAAGTTCTAATTTGTATTTAGTATGCCAGAGAAGTAAATTCCACTCTAAATGACTCACCTGGGAATGGTACTCCTTAGCATTTCAACCTATAGTGCTCTCCTGAGTTCCAAAGCAACATTTTCAATTGCCTTTGGATCTCCCGCTGGATGTCCTTTAAGCCATCTTCCTCCCCACTTGCCCTAAACAAATCCACCAGTTTTTTCTACAAAATTCTCTTCTTCATTTCCTTGTCTCTGTAAATGGCACTACCATTCTCCCAGTCAACCAGACTGAAAATCTAGGTGCTATTTGTACTCTGCTTTGACCCTCGTGTCCTGTATTAAGTCATATCATGCAGATCCATCCCCTCAACCATTCCCTAACTTGATCAGCTACTATCCCTTACTGCTTCTTAATTGATCCTCCCTCCCCAATCTTTTTTTCAACTCAAGAGCATAAACTGTGGAGTTAGGCTGCTTGGGATAAAATCTCAGCTAGTACAGTAGAGCCTCTGTAAGTTGACCACCCCAGGGACTGTAACAAACTGGTTAACATACAGAGCTGGTCAACGAAAGGAACGAGGCCTTCTGTTCTGATACGTGCCCATGGTACATGTCTGGTACATGAAGATTAGGTCAACTTAAGTAGGTGGTCAGTGTAGGGAGGTGGTCAACAATGGAGATGACATTGTTTGTATAAACTCTGTGACTTTGGGCAAGTTACTTCACCTCGGTAGGCCTCAGTTTTCTTACTCATAAAATGGAAACAATAATGCAACTATCCCTTATATGGCTCTTCTGAGAAGGACATGATACTTGATGGCACTTAGTATAGTACCTAATACAGGCGTCCTTAAACTACGGCCTGCAGGCCACATGCGGCCCGCTGAGGACATTTATACGGCCCTCCAGGTATATCTGCCACCGCTGCCTGTCCTGTTTAGTAGCCGACTCATCCCAGGGCCCACAGTCCAGCCCTCCAACAGTCTGAGGGACAGTGAATTGGCCCCCTGTTTAAAAAGTTTGAGGACCCCTGGCCTAATACGTAGTAAAACACAATGAATGTTAGCAATTATTATTACTGAACTAATTTGAGACTCTTACAAGCAATTTAAATCACAAAATACAACTTTTTGGCATTTAAAAACTACAAATTCGGCCTCCACTAAAGTAGTTAGACTTCATCTTCCACTTTCCTTTACTTGTAACTTAAGGATTAGTCAGTGTGAAACACCAGCGAGGCCCCCAACAAGGCTCCTTTTTTCCCTCAGCTTTTCCTCCACATCATACAACCTGTCCCAACTCAACTCTTATTTTCTTCCTTAAGACTTAACTTAAATGCCCTTTACTGCCTACAACAGTCCTGACTCTTCCAAAGCAGATGCAACATTTCCCTTTGTTTGAAACTTCACAGTGTTTTATTGTATGTGTGTGTGTTTTTTTAAAGATGTGCCTTATTTTGCAGAGTCCTTTGTATGGCTGCTTTATAAACCCACCCTAGACCCTTAGATTACAGACCATGTCCTATGCATCTTTGCTTTCCCCCGCAGCACCGTGCCTAGCACTGGGTATATTCATTTATTCACAATTATTTACTGAGGTGCTGCTGTGTGCCAGACCATGTGATAGATGCTGTTCAATAAATAATGAACTGAAGAGAACTCCACAAGTTTCAGGCCAACATATGGATCTGATGACAGAGATTAGACATCAGGCTCTGTGTAAGAAAGAGTTTACAACCCACCCTAATCTCTGTAGAAACACTGCGCCTCCTGCTTTTCACCAACCACTAGCTAGTGCTTTACCTTTGTAAAGAAGCAAACAGACCATCCTTTCTTTTCAACCATCATAAAAATAAACAACACGTCAGTCTTCCCGTCTGTCTCTCTCATCCAAGACTGTCAGAATGCATTATTCAATGTTCACCTCTCTTTTATATTGTTGAAAGAGAAAGGCAACTAAAAGTTGTTCTCAGAACCACTCCTCTTCCCATTATGCCCAAAAGCTTTACACGCCTACCCCAAACTTATAAAGTTGTGCTGATTTCAACCTCCCTGTATTTCAAGCAACTCTTTGGCATCGAGAAACTTCTTTATGTTTCAAGGTCTTTTTAAAAAATCCAAGCAGGCTCAGTGCCTGTAGCTCAGTGGGGTGCCAGTCACATACACAGGAGCTGGTAGATTCAAACCCAGGCGGGCCTGCCAAACAATAATGGCAACTATAACCAGAAAATAGCCATTGTGGTGGGCGCTTATAGTCCCAGCTACTTGGGAGGCTGAGGCAAGGGAACCGCTGAAGCCCGAGACTTTGAGGTTGCTGTGAGTTGTGATACCACAGCACTCTACTGAGGGTGAGATAGTGAGACTCTGTCTCAAATAATAATAATAATAATAATACTAAAATAAAAAAAACCAAGCAACCATTCTTAGGTCACATGGGTTAACAGCACTAATTTTACCTGATAGCAACTCAGTTTTCCAAGGGGAACTTTACTATTTCCTCAGAGGATGATCAGCTTTTAACTGGTGCTCAACAGATGCGTCAATAAACCCGTCTACTCCCTGTAGCTGCATCTTCTCTGGGATTGCTGTAAGCTATTCCTCAAATTTTCACTTTGAGATGCCTGCATTTGCCTAATCTAATGCTGGCCAATTCATCCCCATTCTTAGCTCCATTTTACAGATCAGGTACCCAAGGCTTAAGGCAACAGAGCAGCAGGTTGAACCACGAGTGGAGCCTTTTCACTAGTCCCACTTTCTCCTGCTCTAGCTTAGTTTTTGCCTTCTCCCATGACGTCATCTTGGCCACCCAATAGCACTTACTTGTGCCTGAAAGCAGAGACAAAGGAGCAATACTGGCAGCTGTACTTGTCCTCTCGGGTGAACATGGCCAGGGCCAGGTGGCTCCTCTCATGAGAACGCAGCCCCTGCATGGACATCAGGACTCTGTCACATTGACTGCAATGGTATCCCCCCGGCCGGGTTTCATCCTCCAACATTCCATCAAGCAAGCAGTGTTCACCATCCACCCGGCCAACCAGGGCGCCACTGGCATCTTTGGCTGCTTCCAATCCATCCAGGAACAAGTGGGCAGAGTCTTCAGCCTCCTGCTAAGAGAACCACACACACACACATGCCCCACCAACAAAATAAATATCTATCCTTATTGTCCCAACTTTCTTCTTCTCCCTTCATTCTCCCAAACTCATCAGCATCTCCTGTCAAAGCTTCCTCCCCTGACTCTCTGGCTCCCCCTAGAGGGAGGGTGAGCCAGCCTGCCATTCTTCATGCAGAGGTGGTGATTTGAGGGCAACATGTCTGGATACAGGTTGCTACTGCCTGGGAAAAGTGAAAGAGGGGCTCTCCCACTCTGAAGACAGTTCAGTCCCTTCTCCCCCCATCTTGAAAAGAAAATTCAAATTGCAATCCCATCGAAGTTGGGTCAGGGTTATAGCACAAAGAAAAGAGAGGAAGGAAGGAAAGAAGGAAGAGGAAAAAAGCAGAGTAGTGTGACCATGTGGGAGCCATGGGCCTTTCTTAGGAAAGGATGCCCCTGCTCTCTGTACCCACCCAATAAATGGTGACTTCACCCCTGACTGGAGGTTGTTATACAATCGAGTCAAAAAATTAAGGAGCAGCCTGGTTTTAAGTCACCTGCTATTTTGAAGGAGATCGTTGGGCTACTCATTACACAGGATGAGCCACTCTGTCTCACACATGGGGCCCCAGGAGACACCGCAGGGGTGTGTGGATTAAGTGAACGGCTGCTGTCCCTGGGTTGCTACCGTTCTTCTGCCAAAAGACAGAAGGCTTCAGTCTTCAATGAAGGAAAGTAGAGGCTTTACCTTCATGCTAAATTAGCAAAACAGGATGCAAGACTGAGAAGGGCAGATGACAAAAATATATTGAGTATCCATGGGAGAAAAGCCAAAACCATGAAATGTGTTTATAATGATAAGTGCTTAGCAATCTCGTGGAAGGCTGGAATGGTGGCTGGGTTACTGAAACAGTGGCTGCTATTAGCATTAGGATGTTCAAAACAGGTGGCCTAATAAAGGTTGAGGGGAGAGGGAAGGCACTTGTTAGCATCCTATGGGGAGAGAGGATGAAGGGGACAAACCAGGTCAAAGGCTTGGGGTCGACTGTGATGCAATGGTTTTGGTTTCAGATCTAATGTCTCTTGTACTCCCCAGAGGACCCAGGATAAGAAGTCAAAGACAGATTCTCCTGGGCGCTCTGCATCCTCAACCAGATGAGAACAGTAAGAAGTCAGACCACTAGTGGGAGGAGCAGAAGATGATGGGAACAGAACCCACTTGATTCCTCTCAAGAGCTCGGGCAACTTGGAAGAGCGAAGACCTAATGGCAACTAAACGCAGAATAGAAGGACGACCTGAAGCCTCCTACACCGAGAATCCTGGACCTTCTGTTGCCACCAAACTATCCGCGTGGAAGGAAACCAGATCGAAACTCGACCTTTCCCTGAACAGAAAGATGAGGAAGGTCCAACCTGCAAAGAAATCAAAACAAGCCAAACCAATCCAAGCATAACTCAGGAATGCCCGCATTCTGAGACGCTCTATACTGAGCCACTTCAGGCAATGGGGTTAATAAGCAATTTGAATCGCTCACACACAGGAATATGCGCTCATCCAGACCTTCCCGTTCTCACCTTCACAGCGGCTGACACAGCTGGGACACTGCCATATTGGACGTGCTTTCGGAGGTGATTGCAGATGGCTCGGAGCGTTGGGTGCACTTCCACACAGAATTTACATTTGTAGCCCACCACTTTCCTCTCCTTGGTCTTTGGCACCTCTTCTAAGTGACCAAAAGGCTGGTAAAATACAGTGGTAGCCATCAGTACTCCGAGCCCTCCCTCAATTGCTGGAATTTATTCTTGCATTTTACTAGCATATTTTATTTTAAAGCAGATTAGCCGGTTAAAAACCAAGGGAGATAAATAGGCGAGTTATTTTCATAGAACGAATTCACCAGCGTCGTGGCACGCTGCCTACTATGCAAAGTCTCCGGAACCCCAAAATGTGATGGCTTGTGAGTAGAGAAGATTTCTGTGGAGAAGCTCATCGTCACTGTCACTAAGTTACCTGGTTTTCAGGCCAGTTTCAACTATGCAGGTGAAACGGTGCATAGCTGTGCCTTAATGAACTTCTTGATTAAAAAATAAAAATCTAGTCCTGGAGATGTTAGGTTCACGTAGCAAACACCGAAGACCAAGACATGGCTGAGAAGCGCTACTGATACCAAGAGACAGCCCACACTGCCTTAGGAAAGAGCAAGCATCGTCGTAAAACTAGGCTTCAGAGAAGCCTTCTTGGCAGAAGGACATACATAGACACCACCCCAAACCTCCCCTGGGGAGCCATGGGAGGAGTCAAAGGGAGGGAGGGAGGGGACCGTGACTGCGGAGAGGGATGAGCACAGAATGGGGGAGAGTCAAGCTCGAAACGTTTAATTGACTTATTGAGCTCTCTGGCAAGCTAAGTCACTAGGGAGCCTGCAGCAGTTTGGCTGGCAACGAAGAAGTGCATGTGGGCACCAGTGATGAGAGGCCTCCTGGGGGAAGGGAAATCAAAACATATCCTTACCCTCTCTTGTTTGAAATCTGCAAAAGCACCATCTGCATATTTCTGCTTGCTCAAAAGCTGTTTCCTCCTCTCCTGACGTTTGGCACGCTTCTGGAATTCCTCATTGTGAATGCTCAAGTGTGAGGTCAGCTCGGCTGTGCTTTGCAGTTTGCTATCACAGTGCTTACACTGGTAGGCTGAGTTCTGCAAGCGGGGGCCGTTGCCCAGAATGACGAAGTCCCTCTTGAGGTCCCGACTGTGGTGGTCAGTGTAATGCATGCACAGCAGCTCCGCCGTGCTGAAGGACAGCTTGAAGCATTTGATGCAGCGGAACGGGAGCCACTCGATTTCCTGCCCTTCGCCTTCCACCTCGGCTTTCTCAAAGCTGCCTCTCTCCTCCTCTTCCATGAGTGGGGGCTTCTCGTGCTCGTCTGCATACACGGCCGTGAAGTAGCCCCCCAACTTGCTGGCGTGCTGCTTCTTGGGGAACACCCCAGGGTGGCGCTTCATGTAATGGGACACGATGCCCTTCTTGCTGAACGACTGGAAGGCACACAGGGAACACTTCTTCTTCTCCACTGCCCTCCGGAGTTCCTCGCTCAGTTGAGGGGAGTCGTCCTTGGGCGGGGACGGGATGATCACCTTGTTGGGTTTGTCACTGATGGTCCTGGAGGCCGCCAGGCAGTGAGTGTAATAGGCATCGATGTCATGGCGCTTCTGGTAGTGGGCGGCCAGCCCTTTTCGGATGGGGTTGGTGTAGGCACACAGGGCACACTTGAAGAGGTTGTTCTTGCCCTCGGGTTGGGCTCGGACGTTGTTGTGCTTGATGCGATAGTGCCTGGCGATCCCCTTCCTCGTCGAGCAGAAGTACTTACAGAGCTGACACCGGAATACCGTGTGGGAGACCAGGTGCGAGGTAGAGAAGTGAGACGTGGACACAGGCTCCTCTCCCACCTCCTCCTCGGTGATGGAGACCTGGGAGGGGCTCACTTCAGTGGTCATCTCGGGCTCAAGGGGGACCGGCAGCTTCGGGGGCGACTGGGAAAAGACATCAAATTCAGGCTGATTGTGATACTTCTCGTAGTGGATCCTGAGCTTCTCCAAAGTGCCGTGCGTGTACGGACACAGCTTGCACCGGTAGGCGCCGTAGCCTTGCTTGAAGATCCTGCTGGTCTCCTCCACGTCATTCTGGGATATGTCAGCTGACTGCTCCACGTCGTGCACAAAGTCCTCAGCGGTCACCTTGATGGATGGGTGTCGCTTCTGGTAGTGGGTCAGGACGCCGTGGATGCGGGTGTTGATGTACGGGCAATGCCTACATTTATAGACGGCACCCGGGTTGATGTCGATGTCCTGGGCAAAGTCAGCAGCCTTCACCTTCATGCCGGGGTGCTTCTTCCCATAATGGGTGAGAAGCCCATGCAAGTTGTTGTACTCAGACTGGCACACCGTACACTGGTACGGGGTAGAGGAAATGGCAGGGTTGGCTGAAGCCAGATGCATGCTTTTCTCGGGGGAAAGTCTCACGTCCTCGGGGCATTCGGCTTCCTGCTCTGGGAGAGGGGTGGGCATACTATTTTCACAATTCACGGGGCCTGTCAACTCTTCAGAGGGAAGAATGGGCTTCTCGATGGCGTCCTTTTCTTTGATGATATCCAGCAGCACTGACTCATCACCGTTCATGGCCCAGGGGTGGAATGCTTGGTAGTGATTGGTGATGTCCCAGATGGAAACAGCTTCAAACACACAGTCCCTGCATCTGTAGGTTTTGGCTTCGGCTGGCATCGTGAGAGAGGGAGAGGACGGGTCTGGCCCAGCCCAGAGTTTGGTAGCCATGTAAGTGTAATCAACGTAATGCTCTGGGTGCCTCCTTTGGTAATGCAGGAGCAAACCACTGGGCTCCGTGTGGGAATAGATGCACCACTCGCAATGGTAGCCAGCTTCTATCAAGCCGTCTAGAAATGCCCATCGCATGATGGACGTGACTGTGGCCTTTAGGGCGGGGTGGTCTTTCTTGATGTGTTTCCTCAGTGCATAGAAGTAGGGGGAGGTATACGAACACTGCCTACACTTGAGTGCTCGCAACTTAGTTTTGTCCCGCTCCATGTTTGAGGGGGACATGAGCACACAGCTGGCAGGCTTCTTCTGGTTGCGGTCACAGAGGCTCCGGATGGTGGCTGTGTGCTGCCGGATCACATCTGCGTTGGCCTTGAAGTCTCGGTGCTTCTTCTGGTAATGAATGAGGACACCTTTGACCGTCCGGTTCCCGTAATCACAGTGCTGGCAAAAGAACATCTCATTCTCCACAGGAGGGCCATCTCTCTCAGAGCTGCTTCGGTTCAGCTGCGGCAGGGGGGCAGGTGGCCGGGGGGAGCCTTGGGGCCCTTCGGCCCCTCTCATCATTGCAGATGTGGGAGGAGCCTGTCTGATATATTTGGCAGTAACCTTTATTTCTGGGTGTCTTTTCTGGTAGTGGACAAGCACTCCCACAACTGACCGATTGCTGTAGGAGCAGTGTTTGCAGTAGTAAAGCTCAGTACTGAGGTCTGGTGGCGGGGGTTGTGGGGGGGGTGGGGAACCCATGTTGGACATTTTGGGAGACATTGGAGCACCCACCTCAAATGATAATTGAGAAAGGGCAGAGCCCCTGTCCACAGACACCATTCGCATGGTTTTCTGGATCCTAAAGTAGGAAGCCTTTTCTTCAGGGTGTTTCTTCTGGTAATGAACCAAGACAGAATGCATGTTGGGGCTTGCAAATGAGCAAACGTCACAATCGTAAACGACAACAGTGTTGACCGAAGGGTCCTTCTGGTTTTCACATTCAGGAGTAAAGGACTTTGAAGGAGTGTTTTTATTAAACGCAGAGGACATACTACCACCACGAGCCACGGGTGTGGAGGTCGCCATGTTCTTGGGAGCCGAATTCAGAATCTCCCTCAGGGTCTGGGATTCAGTACTCAGCCCTTCTTGCTGCTCCACGACGTAGCTTGAAAATATCATCGCATTGTTAATCTTAACTGTGGGATGCATTCTTTGGTAATGTGGCATCAGGCTTCTGACATTTGGGCTTGTGTATGAACAGAACCGACACCGGTAGATCAGGTCGGAATGGTCAAAGTTCAGTACATTCATGGCTTCTGGGTGGTGCTCGCCGTAATGCTGCTGGAGATCTTCAAAGTTGGTGTAATCGATGTAGCATTCCAGGCACCTGTACACCGCACTGTGATCATTGGGGTCCAAGATGTACCTGAAGCTGAATTTAATGTACGGGTGCATTCGTTGGTAGTGGGTGCTAACACTCCGGGCGGATTTGTTGTTAAAGTCACAGTGTTTGCAATAGTAAAGCCTTCCAGAGTCACCAAAGTCCGTATTTTCATTAGTATGCTCAGTTCCATAGATAGGTGTTTGGGTATTCAGCAGAGCAGTGTTGGAAACTTGGTGATCTTTCATGTTTGCTGAAGAGCCATAATAATCCTCCTCATCTTCAGAAAGGGTGAGCTCAATCTCAGCCCCATTGGTCGCATTGTAATCGTGGGTGACGTTTCTGAAGTTGGATTCTTTCTGGGGCTCACTGGTATCTCTCACCCAAATCTGCTGGGCTGAAAAGGGAGTGGGCACCTCCATGATGGGCTCTGCCGACTCTTCTTCCCTGTCCAGCTCAACCTCTATCTCCACCTCATTGTCTTCTTCTTCCTCTTCATCGTCCTCCACATTGATCACCGCATCTTCCTGCTGTTTTGTCTGGTTGATTTTGCTCTGCAGGTTGCTTGCTATCTCATCAATCCTGGTTCTCTTCTTCACAGGTGATAAATCGAGGGGAAAGTCGTTAGCAAGCTTTCTAGAGGCCTTAGCTACAAAATTGTTCTTGGAGGACAACCCAAGAATTGAGGTCTGACTTTTCTTCACAGTGTTGCTGGAAGAGGGGTGGCTGTCTGTCTCATTTTCCAATGGTAGGCTTGAGGGCTGCCCCTCGAATTTTGGCAAGTTGTCACAGAACGAATGTTTATGCTGCTGATGGACCCGTAGCCCTTTCAGGGTCATGGTGGAGTAATTGCACATGGTGCATTTGTAAGGGTGGAGGGGTGGGCCCTGTGTGGGAGGGGGCGGCGGCTGCGTTGGTGGTGGCTGTGGCTGAGGTGGCACCTGATGAGGTGGCTGTAGCTGGGGTGGTGGCTGCTGCAGTGTCTGTGGCTGTGATGGTGGCGGTGGGGGCGGTGGCGGTGGTGGTGGTGGTTGCTGCAAAGGATCCAACATGACCCCTACCTTTCTGCCATTGATGCTGGGACTTTCATAGGATACCACACCTTCATTCAGAGAGGAAGAAATGCTTTCACTCTGGGAATTCACAGCATCCCAATCTGATGTTGTACCCGTGTGACACTGTTTGTGAGCCCCAAGTTTCAAGGAGCTCTTGCAAGTAAACGGACATTCGTCACATTTGTAGACAGCTGTCTTTCCAGATAAGTGGATGTTTTCTATGTGACGGGAGATGCTACGTCGATGCATGGTGAGGAAAGGACAAAAGGGGCACTGGAACCTGTTCATGAATCTCCTAAACGGAATGCCCTTGGTCTCCAATAGTTTGTTGCCATCGGAGCCCATCAGCTGCTCTGCAGACATGACTGATGCCTGGTGATCCATGGCATTTAAACCATTCTCACTGTCTATTTCATTTAACTCATCATCAGAACTAGAGTCATTGAGCATGCTGTTAGTTTCCAGGTCAGCTGAAGAATTGGCCATGTCAGTCATTCCATACCGGGATCTCTCTGCCAAGTTAACAAGGCCAGAATTGTGAGGTGACTTCGGCTTCATCTGAGGGTAAGACATGGATGAAAACTTGGAAGCTGAAGAATTGGGTCTCATGATGGAGTTGCTGATGGAGCCTCTATAGCTAGAGACGGTAGTGTTGGGTATCTCCCGGCTTGCAGCATTCATGGACAGATAGGTGGAGTTGGAAGTGGGGCTGGGGTCATTCGTCTGCACCTCTGGCATATTTGTCCCTTCTTGTTGCTGTCTGAGGCTGGAGAGGATCTTGACCATGCTGCGGTGTTTCTTCATCATGTGGTCACACCAACGTTCTCGGCGGGGCGTCTGGTAGCTGCACCACTCACAGCAAAAGTTGCCTCGAGACTTGGTCAAGGGTTTGACCATGGATTCTAAGATGCTGCGCTCCACAACCTCTGCCGGCAGTTCCTTGCAGGGGTCCTGCAGGGACACGGGTGGAACCATGGGGTCTGGCATTGGAGCAGGAGCAGGAGGTTGAGCACTGGACTCCTTCAAATTGTTTTTGTGATACATCTTCTGATGTTTCATTATCCTTGCTCTCCTTGGTGACTTGTATGTGCAAAACTGGCAAGAGAAGACCTTTCCGAATCCCTCATGCATCATGATATTATAATTTAAGGATCCTGGGACAGGAGGTCCTACTGAGCTCCCTTCAGCTTGAGCTCCATGGACCTTCCTAGTGTGTTCTATAAGGAGGTTTTTTGACCTGAAATAGCGTACACAGAACTTGCATTGAAAAAACTTGTTCGTTGGTTTGGGATTAGCGGCAATATGCTGACTGTAATATCCTGTACTGTGGCCATAGTAACTTCCCGTCCCCAGTGCAGCTGCATTTTGACCTACAGAAAAGCATAAGGAGAGTAAGAAGAGAAAAGCAATGCAGAAGAGAATTAAGCCATCCAATCATGCAAATCAGCATCATTTCAATTATTCTTTATTAATAAACATCACATTCAGAAGGTTTCAACATGGGGCCCTGAAGAGTATCCATGTAGTATGATGAATGTACATACACTGCACCTTCTCACCATGAAGATGGAATGTACAGCTTCAGGTGAGAAGGTGAAAATACTCTCTTCATCTCCATAAATGAGCTGCCTGACTATAAAAATAAAAGTTTCATAAACTACAATATTAATTCTAGAACTTTCCACTCTATTATCTTGTTATCAAAATTAAAAGGAAACCAGGAGACATGAGAACCTACCTCCTGCCCCCCCAAAAAATGACAATCACCATGGCCGAGCATGGTGGCTCACACCTGTAATCCTAGGACTCTGGGAGGCCGAGATGAGTAGAAAGCTTGAGCTCAGCAGTTTGAGACCAGCCTGAGCCGAGAGCAAGACACCTGTCTCTACTAAAAAATAGAAAAACTAGCTAGGTGTAGTGGCACATGCCTATAGTCCCAGCTACTGGGAAGGCTAAGGCACGAGGATAGCTGAAGCCCAAGAGTTTGAGTTTGCTGTGAGCTATGATGCCAGGGCACAGTACCCAGGGCAACAGAGTGAGACTATGTCTCAAAAATAAATAAATAAATAAAAATTCCCCAAACCAAAACAAACATACAAACAAAAAAGACAATAACCTAGGAAGCTCAAAAGAAACTTGATCCCTAAATCACAAAAATAGTTTGCAACAGGCAAGAAACTCTGCAAAAGCCACACATTTTAAGGACCATGGCTATAAGCTGCAAAGAAACCAGAGCAATGCAAATATATCAGACATGCTGAGCTTAATATAGATTTACCTGATAAATCCTCTGCAATTGCAAATTCATCCTTTATAGAAGAAAACTCCACCTCTGTCTGATTGCTGGCATTTATGGACCCGGATCGCGGCTCATCAGCACTGTCCTCAGCAACATCAGTTGGCTGCAGAAATGCCGTGTGGACATCCTGGATGTGTGCTTTGAGGTCTTCATAAGATGGGGCTCTGAAATCACAGCCATCACACTGAAGCACCTCCATGATCCGGGTCTACTCTCTCACATTAGGGACCTGTGAGGGCCGAAGTTAGAACACAACACCTTAAGGAACGCCCTGATCACATATCTGGAGCCCATGGGATGTATGTCCAGGAATGGGAAAAGGATTCCAGCATTGGTAGATTTCTCTTACTTAGACTGAGCCAATCGGAATGCTGGACAAGGAAAGGCAATTGTATATAATAGAAACCGTGTCCTTGACTTCCAAACTTCAAAGAAGACAAAGCCAGATAAATTTTCTTCAAATGCTTTTTGTCAAGGAAACCCTTAAGGACTTCAAAACTTAAGTTTTCTGAGTTTCTCCACTGAATCCAAATTCCTTGGTAATTTAATATTGGCTTTGGCTCTGCCTTGGACTCATATTTTTTTCCCCAACTGGAACCTTCTCAGAAGTGAAGAGGATATACATACAGAAGAAAGGAAAAATTTCAATCTTCAGTAACTATTTTGATCTTATTACAGTAGTGTTTTATCACTAAGTGATAAAATAGTATTATTGAATCTTGGAGTGGCAATGGAGAGGTTTTTTGTTGTTGTTGTTGTTTGTTTGTTTGTTTGCAGCTTTAACTCTTTTAATATCTTTCCCGATATTGGGGTGTATTTCTTTCCTCCCTTCCCCAAATAATTTGGTTGGGTTTATTTCATGAGCTAAATGGTTATTTGCTCTTTTACTACCTACCGATTATAACCTAATAGCTTCTTCAATCTAATTAGGTCATAAAACATTTCTCATGAGGTTTTCAAACAACCAAGTTTGGATGAGAGTCCAGTTGCGAGTTTAAAGTTGCACCTTGGTGTCTCAATTTACATGAAGACAGCTAAAACTCGCAGTTTTGAAGAGGGGCTTCTAAGTCGTGACTTTATCGTTTTCTCCACTTCTCTCCTTGACAAACATGGAACATATACTTGGATGCAAAAGCTGTGAACCTGGTGTGGAATAAAGCAAAAATATGCCCAGCTACCATCATGCTGCTATTTACTGTGAGACTGAAATATATAGAAAGCTTCACACTAATTCGGTGGAGAGTCCCACTGTTAAGAAGCCACAAATGCATTAGGAAGGTGTAGTTCTCCCTATCTTTATACGTATCCTAAGTTGAGATACCTGGTTATTATCTTAATGTGCGAGTTATTTCGTTAAGCTCACCATAAACTCTACTGAGTCACTGTAATCTAGAACCAGATGTCTAAGAATGAAAGCTGTAGCCAAATCTATTTTATGATGTAATGCCCTATACTTTTATTGTAAAAGATAAATTATTCCTGCAGGAGGCACAAAGTCTAGTAATAACATGTCAATCTAGTGAAAGGAGCCATTGCATGAGGGTTTTCTATGAAAGCACGAGCCTCCTGATCTCCTGCTAAAATAACTTCTGGCAAGTCCAGCTCTGGACAAACTGAGCTTGCAGAATGAGACACAGATATTTACCTCCTCTCCTTTCACCCAGTAATTTATCCTTTTTCAATAAACATTGAACTGTGCACCAGAGCCTTTTCAGCTAAGTCTCAATATTCCAGATACACAAGCTTTTATGTCTAAGCACCAACCCAAATTGTGTGGAAGAGGTTGCTATCAGCTCTGGATCAAATTACAGCAGTCACTGAGGCCCCACCCCACGTCTCCTTTCGCACAGTCCATTAGACCTGAAAACAAATTTTTCCATGGTGCAGACGACTCCTGCATTTAGAACACTTCACAGAAAAAAGCAGATCATCCAGTGTGCACTCCCCATCCCCCAAGCTTAGTCCTTTCATCTCAGCCAAACAAGCCACAGCTCTGCTGAATGTGTTTATCACACTTTCAAGAGATATGAGCTCCTGCGTCACTGAAGCTCTAAGACTCACTAAGCTGCCCTAGTCCTCTGAGCTTTAGGAGCAGCCATTTTAGCTCAGAGCTTCTCCTCCGAGCACAACATGGCTTCTCCTGGCTTCTGCTCCTCTAACAGTCAGAAATGAACGCTGGAAGAGCAGGCTGGGCTCCTCCTCTGCTCTTCTCTTCCCAACACAGAATTAACTGTTTTCATTTCTCTCCGAAAAGCAGCACCTTTCTCCTCCTCAACTGTCATTCACCAAGATCTATCTCCCAAGGTTCTTTTATGCCATGATTGATATGCTGGTTCGTTAGTCCCAGCAGAGCCCTGGTTAGAGCAGGATGACCCTGGACCAGACCTTGTTCTACAGCAGGATTTGGGGGTGCGGTGGGAGGGGGAAACATCCCAAATGCCTTGGCTTCTTGGGAGTCGTCCTTCCACACACAGAAGACATACCATCCGACTCTGCTTGCCAGATTCCAAAGTCTAATGACCTTTGTTAATCACCAGCCCGTCTGTCTGCATCAGCAGACCCAGCCAACAGACACACCCTTCAACACAAAGGCTGTAGCTATTCCTTTTAAAAGAGGTTCTCTGAAAGCTCCATTGTGTAGCCTAGAGGAAAACAAAATCTCTTCCCTTCAAAACTTCAAGCCTTTAGAAATAATGCAACAAAAGCCTTTCTGCTGTGTGTGTCTTTTGGAAAGTTTGAGCCCGGTTTGCACAACACATCAACAAAAATTACGGTTCTGTACAATGAAAGCAGGCCACCTCGGCATTAAGTCATCCACCTAGAGGTGAAATTCATCTCTCTTTGCAGTTCTCTAATACCTTGGTGTCTTCTGAAGCTGTTATCAAGGATGCTAACTTCACCGGCTGCAAACACAAACTAACAGTCTCCTTGTTCTGCTACAAAGGAGATTAAAGGGTTATGAGATCAGAAAAAAAAGAGCCACTGATTTGGAAAAAGAAGAGATGATGAAAGTGATTTCCTAATGGGTTCTAGCTTTAATGTTGTTGCTGTCCCTGCCTCAAAAATAGCTCGGAGCCTTATAAGAGGTTAATCTCCAGGTCGCTGAGAGAACCAGCGTCAGGTGGAGCTGAGCTGCCTTCAATCTGATGTCTGCACCAAGTACTGAAATGAGGATGCAGCCTACTTTGAAAGCCATCTTGCCTTTGTGTACACATTTCTCCTGAAGACACCGCCAGAAGAAAATAGAATTGCTAGCATGGCCCAGGCAATCAAAGAAACAGAAACTTCATGTGTTTATGAGACTGTGGGTGTGCACATGTGCAAAAAGTGGCAGCGGGAGGAGAAGGAGTAGGGAAGGATGGAGACAAAGGAAACCAGACGAGAGGATGGCCAGAAGATGGTAATCCTCCGAGAAACCAACAAAGAGAAACAAAAGATGAGAAAGAAGCTCTATTGACTGCTTTAGTACCAACCCAGAAGAGCAATAGCCTTAAGAGGCTAAAGTAGACAGATCTGCTATAAAATTAAGATTTAAAGTTAAAAGTCTTGATCTCCTATCTACTTAGTTCATTTAATAAAACTGCGATTATGAGAGGAGCAATCTTTTTCTCACTTACCGAATCAGCAAAATCAAAAGCAGAAGAGGAAGGGTGTGAACTAAGAAGAGATGCTATTTCAAAAGGTCATGAGATAAACCTACAAATCAAACGAGTGCCCCTGTCTCCTACCCCCAATGTCGCCAGGCCCCTCAAGGTCAAACAGGCTTCAGGTAACTCTGAACATCACCCATGATGACACCTGAGAGGTGAATATAGATTCGTTCTGAAATAACTTATAGCACCTAATGTGATTGCTTCTCCTTACATGAAACCCCTACACCACCCTAATTATTTACTCCTCTTTAGTGCTACTTCTTACCGGCTATTGGTTGGTTCAGTTTGCAATTATAGTTTAGGGATTTCAAAATGTGGGGTTTTAAGGGGAAACCCAAATCTAATTGTCCACATTTGACAAACTCTTGAAGATAAGAGTTAAAGAATATCTAGAGATCATGTTAAAGATGTGGAATATATACAAGGGAATGGGGGAAAAGAAATTATGGACACAGACTGCTCTTTCTTAATCTTAAGAACACCACTTTTAATTACCAGTGGCCCACCCACTTTCTGCACTCAGAATTCCAAGGGTCCACTGTGCCTCAGTTTTTCTTCCTGTGAAGAAGAAAGGAGACAAACCCCAGTTTCACTGTGTGACCTTCCAACTCACTGCTCAGATGGAACCGGAGCGGGGAGGTGTCCTTGACGCTTCACAGCATTCCTACAAGCCTGCCGCCATCAAGCCTGGTCCACGTCAGCCTGGCAAACACTGCTCTTTAAGCTTGATGGCCCAGGAGCATGTGAATGTGATACTCAAGTCCAAATCCCAACCGTCTCCATGAAGTGACCAAATTAAAATGCACAGGCCTTGCCTGGGTCTAACCTGTTCTCTGACTGAAGGACTGCAGACCAGAAATAAAGCCGTGAAGCACCACAGCCATGTGATTCAGGAGCAACTAATTATAACCTTCAAAGCCTCTGAGAAATAGAACCAGAAACACCATAAGGTGCTTTTTTCCTCTGTCCACTCCAGAAACCTAGTTTCATTTATAAGACACTGAACTCCCCAGGTCTCCTCATAATTCTAATAAAAAACTTTTGATAGCACCTGTTGTGTGTGCTTTTCTTACTTTCTTATGAATGCAAAAACCAGTTATCCAGGGACAGGTGATAGGATGCATAAACTCTGCAACAGCTCAACGCGAGAAGCAGAAAAATCAGGAACCTAAAGGTCATTCTGAAAAATTGTATTTACAGATCAGAAGCTCTCACTGTCATGAGGTCAAAGAGTTGTGGCCTGGATTGGGAGGTTCACATTTCTAATTGCAACCCCAGGACCTTAGGATGAAAAATGGGATGAAAATAATTAAGGGATTCAGAAGGGAGACACACTAATTAATAAACTTGTGAATGGATTACTATTCTTAGCAATAAGGGATGCTCCTATCACTTACTCATCAATTAGTCTTCTCAGGGCTGAAGCTGAAGTTCCGATAATTTAATAATCATTTAAAGCATCCTTCCAAACAGTAACGAACTGAGAAATTGAGGTGAAATCACTTTCAGGAATAACAGCTATGGAATCAAAACTACAAATGCAAATACAGAATGTCCAAATCTTATACATACTAAT